TTTATTTATGTAGGAATTACATATATAATATCTAGAAAATAAAGAAATAAAAAAGCCTTCATTGATGTACTTAGTCGAGGGCATTTTTTATACATTAAAGGCCTCCTCAAAATGCTGCCATGTTAATCTGTACTTCGCTATGCTAAACCATTCCTACTTCCATAATTCTTATGCAATAAAATATCTTAGTATAAATTGTTTTGCTTTTCTAAAAAAAACAGTTAATTTTACGTTCACTTAAAAACCTGTAAATTATTAAACACAAAATGTAGTGGAAAAGCAGGTCAACCGATCAATGTCCTATAAAGTGCCGTATTTTTTAAGAATTATGATTTGGCTTATTTACTCACATTATCCTTATCACCGGCTCCTTCCAATTTTAAAAATAAAACATAAAACTTTATCAAAATTTAGTTATAAATGTTTACCTGAAAAACTGGCATTATCATACCCAAGTACTTTCGTTTTCACTCGATAAAGTGTCCGTCAAGCAAAACGGATTAGCTTAACCGAACAATATGGCGGTTCCGGTGATAATCGATACCTGTTGACTATCCAATCAACAGCTCGGACGAAAGATATCTGGCCTATTTTGCATATAATAACAGGTGCTTGTGAATCACTTGGTAACTTAGAAAGTGAATCCTTTTTGACTGGGGGTAGGTCAATCGCCATGTCTTGTATGTTGAAAAGGGTCACTTCATTCTTTTGGCAGAGTATTTGAATAGTTTTCATAGTTGAGTAAATGGTTCCACGACTTAGAGAAGGGCTAGTTTTAAATACTAAAAAAGCACACGATCCATATAAAACGGATTGTATGAATTAGTAATGGAATATCTAATATATAAAATTCTCGTGTCGCGGTGTTTGTAGTTAAACTCCTCCGAAACGGCTTGACCGATTCTCATGAAATTTTGTGTGCATATTGGGTATGTCTGAGAATCGGACAACATCTACTTTTCATCCCCCTAAATGTTAAGGGTAGTCCACCCCTAAAGCAGCTTTTAAATTTTTGTATAAGGTAACGGAGTGTAAATAAATAAAACAAGGATTCACACACACAACTCAATAATTATTTTTTTCCCTATATGATAGGGGGGGAAAAGGAGCCTATGGAACAGCCATAAAAGGCACCTGGGGCAGCTACGCGTTGCCGGCTTTTAAGACATTCTTTATTTTTTTTTATATAATTAATAATAAATATTTAACATTAATAATTTAATAAATATTAATAATAATCATAATTATTATTTATTATTTTATTATATTATTCATTCAATTTAATAACTAGGTATGTTTGATAACCTTTTAACTAGTAACAATAGGTCTTTGTGAAAAAGCATTTCTAAAAAAAAAATTAAAACTCCTTTATTTGTTTAAAAGGTACTAAAAAGGTCATTATGGTCATTCAAAATTCTTGGCATAGCTTCTAACTTCACGCATATTCTATTTCTTTTCACTTGTAGATTGTCTTATTCCCATCTCGCTCGCGCACGCTCGGCGCTCGGTTTAAAAAGAATTCGTTAGCAACTTCATTCTGTTAATTTTGTGTCACGGTGCGCGCGCATCGTAAAATTTTACTCTCATCAATTTTTCATAACGCGCCTAAAGAAGTATAACTTCAAAAGGAACGACAAAAGTGACTAAATGTGAAGAAAATTTACATTAACACCGTATCTAAAGATCTCCTTATCAAAGTCACACACCGTTAAAACCAAATCCAGATTTGTCAAAGAAGTATTTGCAAATCCAACAGAAATTGCCATCACCTGGCTTGTCGCCAATACGGAAAGTTCGGAAGTTACAATGTCAGTTCACTATATACGGGTATTACAAAAGATCCGTGTTCTATTAGATCTTATCTGGCTTCCAAACAAACAAGCCCGATCATAAATTAGCACAAAAATACGACGTAGCTGAACTTGTCAACAACATACTTGGGCTCATGTTCTTTTGGAAGCTTTCTTTATATTAATAAAGAGATTTGTATTTTTGTAACGAATGAATTCAGAAACTACGGTTGCAAAGAAATCATTATAATGCTACATTATCTCTAAGTAGCATAGTCTGTATTTATTTCGTAAATAAATTTCCAGCTATGCGAACCTTATATTGAGGAAAGAATAAAAAAAATATTTTTATTCTTTTTAACGGAGTGGTTGAGCCGCTAACTATTTGTTAGCGGTTACAAATACTAACAAGAAAAGTCTCTTTCTCTTCTTTCACTTTTCTTGGGTTAGCTATGGTTAGAATTCGTCGTAATAATTACGATTTTCTTTAAGGCTTTCTTTAGTACATTTAAATGAAAATTGTGTACGCTAAAAATGTAGACTATATTTTAATAATAATAAAAACAATACATCTACGTCGAAAAATTTGTGCAAAGCGTGTCGATTGCAGTACATTAACATTAAATTGGCGGGAAATACATATAATGTTGTGTCGCTGTCAATTTGACATATGGTTTATTTATTGTCATTGGTGTTTCAATGTGCAGTTTGGGAGCGGGAACATTGTGCAGACGACAATCAATATTATTCATTTTAAATTCGATTTCGGCCATATCCGATTTATTTTCACGTTTTATTCAGAGTTTTCAATACCGGTGTTTTACGACGCTTTCGTGTTATGAATTTTCTTTGTTCACATTAAATATGATATTGATTTATAACTATTTCATGTTCGTTAATTTTATAAATTCATTGTAACATTATTTTAGATATTTCCTTTTTTATAGTTATATCTTAGTATGTGTCTGTATTCTATCCTACTATATAAAGCTGAATTACCAGGTTTCATTCTTTCATTGTCCTTTATGCCGAGGGGGAGGAGATGAGGGGGTATTTTTGATGCTTTCGTATATGAGACTCCAAAATCTAGAATAGGATATATCTGACAAATCCAGGATCTGAAGATTAGAAAAAAAAATTCAACGGTCCGCCTAAACGGTAACCTAGCTCAAGAACTGTTGGCAATCTGATGCTAAAAAGTGGTGTACCACCATCTTGCGGGCGTGGGGCCCAGAGCACCGCGCGGCAAATATAGTATATTTATGATTTATGCTAATAACTTATAAAATCTCTAATTCCAATTATTACAAAAATATAACGATAAATCAAATAACTGAACATAAAATGTGGCAATTTGAAGATGTTTTCTAAAGTGGCAATACATCTTCGAGGTGTTCTGCTAGTCATGTTTGCTAGAAAGGATTGATGAATGTGACGTATAGCACTTAACTTCATATTTACCGATACATACAAAATATTATAAGAATAATTTCTCACAGATTCAAAAGAAAATATTACTAACTTAAAATGTGTAGTGTTTCCCAATCACCGCTTGTTTAAAGAAAATTACATAGAAACTGAGAACCTACTTTTTTCATTTTTTATGTAATAGGAGGCAAACAGGCAGGAGGTTCATCTGATGTTAAGTGATACCGCCGCCATGCACACACATTGCCAGAAGGCTCGCTAGTGCGCTGCCGGTCTTTTAAGAATTGATACGCTCTTTTCTTGAAGGATCCTAAGTCGAATTGGTTCGGAGATACTTCAGTGGGCAGCTGGTTCCACATAATGTTGGTGCGAGGCAAAATCGACCCAAAGACTACGACGATTGTCTACAAGAAAAAATTGTCTTTGACATTGATAAATAGCGCAAAAAACTGATTATATTTTATCTGTGGTTCTTAGCTTTTGTACACATTGTTAAGCTTATCACGTTTTCACACTCAGCCTTCAAGTCGGGACGTTAATTACCCAGTGTAATCATAGACTAAACGTTTATTAAACTTAGAAAACTCCGCTAGTTAACCATTGATTTACAACTAAACTTTTCCAACTTGATATTACTTTCGCAGCCTTGGAGATTAATAATTAATAAAATAGGCCGATTACATTTTTCTTTGTTTTGCCAGTTTTGATTATACAGGTTTCTGCATATTTTTAATATTAAAATAGCACACAGTATTTTTATTAAAAAAATTATCCGCCAGGAGTAATTGAATTGTAGGTTCTATATGACCAAACTTATAAATCTTACTTTATACACAACAAAAATAATATTTAAAGTTTTAAGGTATTTAGTATTTTAGCCCATAAGTTGTAAATCCATACAGTATTATCTTTCTATATCAATAACAAACCTTACACAGAACATATACAAAATTTGTAACATAAAAAAAATCTTAATCTTACGTCTAAATCAAAATGCAGATCACCTACTTGCATATAAAAATTACCGAGAAACTTATTCCGAAATCTAAAGCTAAGATCTTTGTTTAAAATCTACTATAGAAAAATATAACCAAAAATAGCGTTCTATTTTTATCCAGGCGTTAATTAATCCCTCGATCGTTTTAATACAAGCTATGAATAAACGTAGAAAATTGTTCGGACTCCAGTGAGCACAGTTGCATTAGTAGATTGGACCTCGTAAGTCTCCTGAGATGGGGAATAATCAAGAGTAACTAGTTCGGAGTTTGAGTTACGATGTGATTTTGTTTGTTATTGAGAGGTTAAACAGATGCTTCTCTAACAGCATCAATTTAATATAAAATGAAAATGAAATTCAGTTTTTTCTTTAGAAAGTTGTGAATAATTGAAATTGACTGCAACGTTTTTTTCTAAATTTTTCCACTAGTTCAAGACGTTTACAGCCAGCTGAATTTTTTAGGCCGCTTCTGACCAAGTGTAGTTTTGTGGTACAGTTGTGGATACCCGTTTCAGTTATTTTCAGGACTGGTTATTATACCCCTTTGATATATTAATATTGTAGAGTGAACGTTCTAGGTGTGAGACAAGGATGGAATGATACGCAACAGAGAGCCTCAATAAACCACCTAGATCTCATTCACGTTATAAAAGTGACCATGGGCGGCGGTATCACTCAAGATCAGGAGAGGGCGTCCTGCCCATTTACCCTCTGTTCAATATAAAAATGATAGTAAGGTAAGCACGAGGAAATCGTCATATTTTTAACAATCAATTGAATTCTACTTACTCAGCCTCTTCGATAGTCTCCGACATGGCGAGGAAGACACAATTGAGCAGAATGGTAGCCATGACGAAGTAATCGAAGTACTGGTTGGTTGATAGGTAGACGCAGGCCCGCCGCACTGAAGACCAGGGTGACCACCAGAAGAGCGATCTGGTGGCCGTGAACCGGTGTATGTAGTTCTTTCGAAATCTCTTCGACACCACGCAGAACGTCTGTAAAGTAATATTTTACATTAAAATTATGTGTACTGTCTAAATTAATATTATAAAACGATAGAGAATTGTATTTTTGTATAACCATTAGAAGTCTGCAGTAGGAGGTTCATTCAATGAGTACAGCAGGATGACCTTTAATAGGCAACGATGGCGAAACGTCGTGAAGCGCATCACATCTGCCCCTTTTAATATTACTACTACTTAGCGATCACGACCGATATGTCAAGAGTGTGCCGGATAAGAAGAAGATTATCTATGTAATAACACAGGCTATGTTTGTTTCGATAATGTCCAGCCCTGCGAAGCCCCTAGAAACTGAAAACGAGAACCGTCCTGCGATTTGAGATCGCTGCACTGATGAATATTTTTTTTAGTTATATTGACAACACTGTTATGTCATTATAAAGCGACAATAATCATCTTGATACTTGATAGTAAAAAGTACATAATTTTGTGAATAAACATGAAGTGTAGCAAATAAGAATTATTGGTTCACATAGTGTAATATAAATTACTTTAAAGTTTTATTTCCGCAAAGAGCAAACATTTAAATGAAAATGTTTCGCTATCACGTTAAACTAATTTATATTTGAATTGAATGTTTTAAAACCTTTAGTAACCTTTACCTATAATCAAAATAATGATTAGTCCAGTGTAGTGTATTTTAAAATTCGATCTAAGTTCGGCTTACGTGAATTTTTTTTTATCGCAGTTTAGCCCCTAAAACTGGGAATTTAGATATAATAGTCTAACATTATTGGAGCCATCTCGTAGCTGTCTGTTTTCCATACCTATTTTTAGCATAAAACGTATTAAAGCTGTCACAAAAAAGGTCGCCGCACCCCATGGAATCTCAATTTGCCAACATCTATTTATTTACAGTACATTTCCAAGGAAGGGTCTTGTGATTTCCATAAGATATTCTAAATAAATAAATCGAGACCCGACCCGTCACTTGTTCAAAACTAAACTATAAATGAATATTATATTTATTCTAAAGAACCGAATGTCAATAAATTTAAAACTAATAACTGCTTATTCGTTTTCTTTTGAAGATAATATGTTTATTAAATTGTCCTTCAAATATAGTAATGGTATGTAAGGTTGGCCTAGTGGCTTCAGCGTGCGACTCTCATCCCTGAGGTCGTAGATTTGATACCCGGCTGTGCACCAATGGACTTTCTTTCTATGTGCGTATTAAACATTTGCTCCAACGGTGAAGGAAAACATCGTGAGTAAACCAGCTTGCCTTAGACCCAAAAAGTTGACTAGTACAATTAAAGTACTTGCATATTAAATTGGCAAATGATCATGAAACAGATACAGAAAAGCAAATCAGGCAAATCTGAAGCCCAGACCTAAAAAGGTGCCACTGATTATTTTATTTTATGGTATGTAAGGTAGGGCGGTGTCGAAAACTACCTACAGTCTACCTTTAATACAAAATATCTGTGTTATAAATTAGACCATAAAGACATTATTATATCAGCCAGTTAAGAAATTTTTACGCGTTAATATTATTTACTTTATCAGTTCAACAAATCGAAATAAGGTACATAATTTTATTGAGTATAAATCAGTACCAATTGATAGTTCAGCATAGTGTGAAACTTCCGTATTTACGATGAAGCTTTATTCGGTTGTACAAAGCTTTATGACCACAATAAATCCAATCTCATTAATTCCAGGCTATTCTCGGCTAAGCTTTATGTGATAGCAACTAAAGCTCGCTTTCTGCGCCAAGCGTTGCTTCTAGCATATTAAATAATATTTCTTAAATATAGATTAATCAAGTTGTTACTTAATTACTCAATAAAATTGTAATTGACACTGAAAGCTGAGAACTTTCAAATTGTACAGTTATCCGCTTTCAATTATTGAAAGTTCTATTTATTTTAAAAAGGATTTTCTTTTTAACTGGATAAGAAAGATGCCTCGTTTTCTGTTAAAGAGATTTATTTTAATATATGTCTTAACTGAGACATCATGGAACATTACGATCTAACTTAAGACTAATAAGTAAATTAAAAATAACCTTATTTACTAATTAGGATATTTAACATAGGAAAGTGTCCAATAACACTACTTACAGTGTCTATTAAAAGGAAAGCATAGAGTGTCTTCTTGTGTTTTATTGTTTCACTTACCACTGTTTGCACTTAAGACTAACGTGCACTAACATTAATTTACAAATTCCAATGATTTTATCCTTTTAAATCGTTTTGTTGGTATGTGACCAGATTTAGTCTAATCCGCATCTAATGCGCAGAGGCGATGAGAATTTGGAGACACTGATCGTGGTATCACAGAAGGCATAAGATCTCGTGGCCGTTCACCAACCAGATAGACTGATCAAGTCAGACTCATCGTCTTCAAAACTATACACTGTCATAAGAGAGGCGCTGGTCAGCAACCGGTGGAAACAGATAGTCCGCTTCTGATGTTTCCTTGCTGACCACGAGCTCAGATATGAGCTGCCAATTTAAGAGGTAGAGTCTGAACCGCCATTTATCATTCCACAAGCCAACAGTATTTAAGGGTTTTTGTTGTTATACTACCGCTTCCTGTTGTTACGCCTTTAGAAATAATTGCGGTAGCGAAATATCTGCGGAACGTTAGTACACTGCAGTTTTTTCGCAAGGAAATGTCATTGTAGCTTTCGTAGGCTGTAGGTGCAGACGTCGTTTCAGAATGTCATCTGAGTCGTCCCAGTCGTCGCTTTCAGATTCTGAAGAGGAAGAATTGTTGTTGCTGGCGTCGGTATTAAAGAGAAAGCGTAGAATCTGGGTGCATGAAATAAATCAGAAACGAAGAAAACTCGGAGAAAATAAGCTATGCTTAGAACTTCAATCACATGAAGATCGTAGCCCAACTAAATATAATTCGGGATAATTTCGAATCAAATTCAATAATAATTCAATATTTTCGGCTTCCATTGTGCGAAATTCTGTCCTCACCGACAGAACGCGTGGTGACGCCTTGCGATGCGAAACTCCACTAGCGAAACGGCTGCGTCTGTGTAACAGCCATTTCGCAGTTACTTGCGAAACAATACCGACAAGGACGCAACTATTTCATCTAGCTATATATTAGAGCGAGACAAAACACATGCGAAACGTTGCCATACACCTTACAGTTTTTTCGTCGTTTCGCTGCCGCATGCGATTGCGTAGGTGTACTAAAGGCGTTAAAGACATGAATTTAAAATAATTGAATCACAAATCATAGTAAGTAATTTTTAGAAACGTTTAAGTCGTTAGATATTCGTTGTTTTAGTAAGCTACCCTAATATACAGTGGTGGTCATACAATTAGACACTTCTTATGAATAAAGAAAGTATAAATAGTTAACCATTATTGTTCATATGTTAAAACTGATTTAAATGTTTGTCCGTAATGTAAAATTGAAACTGCACTTTTAATGGTATTTATATTGTTTTTCTTATAAATGATAAATCGTTGAATAAATTGTTGTCCTATTTATTGTTTAATTTAAAAATAAAAACGATTGCGGTGAAGTATCTTACATAATGACAAGGACAGTTGGTAGTGTTTCTAATATATCTTATAAAATCAATTAAGCTTTTTATAAATATGACGAATATTTAAATGATCCTAATCCTTGGGATTGATTTGCTCCAGGTCAAACAATTTGTATGACTCAAAACTTAGCGATTAAAAACAGTGGCGGAAAGTTTATTGCCACTTCTTCTTGCCCGCTCTACGCCCTTGACTTGCGAACTGGTAGTAAATGTAAATTAACAATTAATTTAACTTCTTTTTTGACGTTCATAAGTGTACTTGTTTACCTATATGAATAAAGTTATTTTGACTTGACTTAATTATACGACCACCACTATAGGGGAAGATCGTTACCCTTCGTACGCGGGGCACATTCATACAGTCAAAATAAAACTTGAACGAAATAAAGTACAGTCTTGCTTTTGTATGTGTGCATGAGTCGAGGTACCAACTATACATCAACGAAGTTTCATGAAATTCGCACCGATGAGAGTGAAGTTACAGGCATAGACGTGTTTTCGCGCTCGGTAAGTAATTTTTTGATCTATGTTTTTATCTCTTGTTACCGTAGATAAAATAAGTTTTCGTGTAGAGTATTCTATCAGTAACTAGCAAAATATACTTAAGATACGTCTCCAATACTTAATTTATGACGTTTTCCTATTAATATTAAAATAAGTTATATTTTGTTGTTATTCAGTTAGTGGGGTACATTCGGACAGCACTAGATGGGGCACATTTGTACGAATTGTACAACTAAATTTGTATAATAATTTGTCGACGCGAACTGTCTTTTTCATACAAATTAAGTTTTCGACTTTCTACATATTACACTACTGTTAAGGCATCTTGACTAAGGTTGATTTTGATGCTTGTGAACCAGATGCTGTGAATAATTTACCAATCCATCAAATAGTAGTTCCTTCGAAGTCAGTTTTGACACCAGAGGCATTTCGACCCTATTCGCATTCTGTAAGAAGTAATAAAACAAGCAAAATGACGATGACGGCCAGGAAAACCACGAATTTATACTGCCACACCCGAAAATAAGAAGTTGTAATCCACACCAAAGAGTAAAAAATGTAATTCTAAATTTAAGATACCTAACTAATTAAATTTTGTTTTACATAAGAAAAGTATTTTATTTTTGTTTAATAGAAATTAAATCTTTATTTTTGTGTTTAATTTCATTGCTAATAAATGAATTTTGAACTACCCCACAGCGTAAGAAGGTACCCCAAACACTGTACGAAGGTGCCCCGTTGATGGGGCAGATTCGTACGTTTTCCAGATTTAGTTTAAATCATAATTATGGTTGAAACATCGGATGAAATCATTTGTCATTTTTTTATTTGAATCTCAGATAGTTAGACTATAAATTTAAGCTATCAGGTGATTGATTCATGGAAAAATAAAAAAATTAAAAAATAAAATGTGAAAACCGTACGAAGGGTCCCCACCTTCCCCTATATTATATTAGAGATATAAATATAATATTTAGATATGTATATTAATATTCTATATGTAATTAATTATTTATGACTAAAAAACGTTACCATAACATAATTTACAAACTAACCCACTAAGACTCAAACTTGTAAGCTTCACACGGCAGCTGTCTCGAACATTGTTTACGAAACGGACTTCGCTAACTTCGTGTTAACTAGCTGTTAGGGTACGGGTAGGTTCATGCTTTGAACTTTGAAAAAGGCAGGTTTTACCATTATTCCTTTTGGGTTATAACTAGTTAATATAGGTTAATACATATTAATTTTATTACGTCCATTGTTATGTTATATACGCGACAATTAAACAATAAACTACAAACTCCCTCCTTATCAGAATGCCAAATCATAAAATGACTGCTTCACGACTGATTTGAGCGCGACCGCCGCTGTGAAAACCGCTGTGTGAGTTCGAAAAGTGAGTTACAGAATCGCAAGGCTGTACCTAATAAACGTCGGATTTTAAGTCTTACACGTGCTTCAATGCAAATAGAAGAATCCTTTGATGCAACCCCCACTATCCTCCGATAGAGAATGTCACTGCTTTCCACTAGGCTAATATCGATGTAGACTATATTACAACGAAACACATTAAGCAATACCATTAATTAAATGGAAAGTGCCATGTGTGAATATCCGCATTGTGGTTAATGTATACCTCGCAAATATGTGCACAATATTAGAGGATAACCGCAGACTGACCGCATACATTCGTCATATTGTTGATTTAAAAAAGTTGTTTCAATATTATTCATTATAACTAGTAAAACAATTATTACACAGTGATAATATTTTTGGTAACATCGTATACAAAATAACAAAAGAAAATTCAATCCTACATTTTATAACTTTAAGCAGTAGACAGCGCGAAGTCTAGTTAGTCAATATATTCTTGAAGCTTTGTGGTATGTACAAAAATATAAACGATTTTAAAACAAATCGTGACGTTCACCAGTATAATACTCGAAACAGAACTAATCTAAGCGTACAACCAAGCAGGCTCCAGAAGATAAACCACTCCTTATATGGTAATTGTATTCGTTTTTACTACAAACTGCCAAGCAAAATTATAGAATTTTAACTGAATAAATTCAAAACTCTCGATAAACGTAAATTAATCAATAAAGCTTTTTATAAATTTGACGATTATTTGAATAATCCTAATGCTTCGGATTGGTTTGCCCCAGTTGAAATAATTTGTATGACTCAAAACTTGGCGATTAAAAAGAGTGGAGGAGAGATTCTTGCCAGTTCTTGTTGCCCGTTCTACGCCCTTGACTTGTGAACTGGTAATACAATTCAGAACCTATATGAATAAATCTATTTTGAGTTTGAAGATTTATCGTAGTAATGAGCAAGAACGTGGCTAGTTCACGACATAAGACACAAAGTGCTAAATAGATCTAGGATTGGTATATATGAACAATGCTCTATCTTCGATTGTCCATTGGTTTAGTATGAATAACCTTCTGCTTAATGCAAAAAAGACAAAATGCATTAAATTTTGTGCAAAAAATGCAAGGGTTATGGATACTAGACCAATTATAAACGGTGAGGAATTGAATCTGGATGATA